CAACCCAATAAACCTAGCGTACCTACATTATATTTTAGAAATCCTAGGTCCTGTACGGAAGCGTTCAACAAGCAGCATATTTAACAGTGATCGATAGCACGGTCTAAACTTCGATGAAAAAGGGCATCGAAATTTCGAGCTCCTTCTCGGTGATTTGTTATATTATGTCAAGTGCTTCGTATTTGTCGAAAAGCGATGGAAAAAACGCAAGGAGTTTACGGCCATATAAAGTAAGTAGCAAGACGATTCGATTATGGGCAGAATAAGCGACGCAGCATTTTGGTAAGGTCATTGACTCCGCGAACAATGTGACTGCGGGCAGTTAAGACGCGATCGCGCCTGCCACATCTGTTGCACGACCAGGGATTTCATTTCATATGACAAGCCACATGTCCTGTGAAGCACTGCTTCCGTCTGACCTTAAAACATATTTAAATAAAGAAAATAATCCTCAAAGACATTCTACGACAGTAAGCTAACAATATCTAAAACAGACCTTTTTAGATTTCTACGCACAACAGTATTGAAAAACATGAGATTCTTTGAAAAGATTTCTTTGGACTTATGATCTTATGAAACAACAAATTAATAAGTTTTTTTTTTTACTTTCTACTAGTACTACTACACGTGATGAAAAAACTCCGTTCTATAAAAAAAATTACTAATTTTTTCATTGCATTCATGCTAACCAATAAAATAATTTAAAAGTGACTCATCATCAGAGTACATAACGTGTAACAAGAATGTGCATGTGACGCATCGTACATAGTCGAAACTATTGTTCTAAAATCATGTCGTTACAAAAGCAAACCAATATCGATCGCAAGTAAGCAGAACTACTGATATGCGGCCTTAGGTGGTAGCCGCCTCGCAAAATGATTGATGGACACTATGCAAACGCACACTTAGATAGATACGTACTAGGAAAGTAATACGTTATAAATTTAGTGCCCGATGCAAGTAGCTTCGAGCAGTTTGTACAATTGGTATCAATAATGATTTTATTAGCAAGCATCGAAAAAAACCGAGCTACTCCGTGGTTTGCCGATCACTTGGGTCAGCTGAGCACTTAGGTCAGGTCAAAAATTAGAAAGTTAACATTAAATGCAATAAAATTGGTAAAATTAGTTTTACTTAATGGTACCAACAAACAAAAAATATATAAAAAAATCGAACCGCTCGATGCATCAATTAGACTTAATATTCGAAAAATACACACTAGCACATTACACAATACATAATACCCACCTATTAAAATGCACTGTTATTAATATTATTAAGCAGACATTGAAAAGGAGAGTATTGCTGTTACTGATGATTTAATTTAGTAACCCCTATCCGAAATTATATGCGGGCTTATTAAAAGCGTGAATGAAACGAATTCTACACATTGTGTGATTGCAACTACAATTCTCAATTTATTAACAATATCCGTTACTCATACTATTTTATAGACTTAATATAAATTTTCATAAGAAAAATATGCCGGAAGAAGTTTTATAGATCGTTTAAAGTTTTTTTATTTAATTTACTAGCTTGCCAGGCAGACGTTGTTCTGCCCTTTTCGACGACCCTGTCATGTCCTATTAAAAATCCTTAAATTCGCAAAAAAAAAAAAACTGTGGCACACTCATGGGCAAAAAACTATCCTATCTCTCAAGTTGGACCAAAGTGCACACGGTGTGCAAATTTGATTAAAATCGGATGAGTAGTTTAGGAGTTCATTGCGGACAAACAACGTGACACGTAATTTATATATATTAAGATTATCTTAACCTATAAGGACAGCTTTAAAAGCATTTCTTGTGGATTAAATATTGTCGCTAGTCACTTTTAACAAAGAACACAACCAAACCTGAAATCTTTAAGACTATCACCAGGAAAGTCTATAAAAATACTGATAGTAATCTATTTCTAGTTCACCCACTCAACTTAGAGTCCAGGTACACCAGCGAGTTATTCCAATCGAGTTAACTTCAAGAACATAACTTTCTAGTGACTCATAGGAAGAGAGTTATCTCGCGCAGACGCTCTCAATAAGGAAGAGGGTAATAAACAAATTCATCTCTCCCATCTTATATGTGGCTTCGTAGCCCGTTAAAAAGCACAATACTGCACTTTATACCATTGAGGCAGGCCCCGGTTCCAGGGGCAGATGCTATTTTAAGCATCTAAATTAATACACTAACAAAGAAAAGGATGTTAGCAATTAACACGCACTTTCGATTGCAACTGTGTTTGTCACTACCATAGAGAATATAATATTATTATATATGATTACATAGTCTTTGGTCACTACCTATCACTGTCATATGATACTTATTTGGATAGACCACCAATTATTTATATGGTAATTTTTAATTTGGTGGTCTAAGATTTTTTGCCTAAATATATAAAATTTCGTGTTTGGGAAAAGAATATCGCCCAAGAGCATCAGCGTTACGTTTTTAAACTCCTTATTTAACAAAAATTAATCTAATATCATAAAAAGAGTAAACAATAATAGTGTCTATTTACATCTACCCAATATAGTTTTTTTTAATGTTTCGATTACTCTAAAATCATAGTGCTGTAATAATAATTCATCTCGATTATAGCTCACGTTTTATTCCATTTTATATTATGACGCCTAGCAAGCAAACTATAAAAACATAACCCTATATTTTAATCGAAGTTATGAAATGGTGCTACAATTACGATAATGTTGGATCCAAAAAACAAAATCTTCTAAATTACATTTCATATCTTTTCGTTCAATTAACTCTCTGCGTGTAAGAAAACTTTCGAACACAAGTGCGTGTGTAACTCGATTGTACTCGGAAGAAACATTCTGACACAGACTTGACCTAATTGAGTATAATAGAGCTTTATTCGTCGGGGTGATCACTTCGAAAACTCTTACAAAAAAAACATTAAAAAGGGCCTCGGTAAGCCAGTATGCCGTGCATCGACATCGCTACATACTAGGTTCATTTTTATTTTATAACTGTTATATATCATTAATTTAATAGCACTATTAAACAAGCAGCCCTTGTACATTTAACAACCAACTAAAAGAATGGGCGATTGTTTAGATATTTCTTCATGTTTACGTTAATTCTATTTTCGTCTGTGTAACGACGCATCGACCGTTTACTCTTACTCTCGACTTTCGTTATAACTTAATACTATCTTCATTAGAATAATTGTGATAAGTTGGTGAAAGTCATGGTCACCAGACAGCATAGCGCGTACGCTAGACTAACGTTTATTTAAAATGTTCTACGTAATAATTAAGTAACACAATAGATATTTAATTTCCGTTGAATGTTCTCAAGATAGACCCCTTTTAGTTTTGGAATTAATAATGATCCTCAAAGATTTAACAGATTTAAAAAGTAAAGTAAAATTACAGCCTATATACGTCCCACTGCTGGGCACAGGCCTCCTCTCGTTTCTGAGAAGGTTTTAGGGCAAGGAAGTGTCCGCCACGCTGCCCCAATGCGTGTTGGCGAACTTCACATGTCTACGAAATATTTTTTTTCTTATTCCTCAGACATGTAGGTATCCTCACGATGTTTTCTTTCACCTACGAGCACGTGGTATATCCGAACTTATAACTGCAATTAACAATTTCATTGGTGCCGGCGGGGATCGAACCCGGGTTACTCGCGTTCCGTTATATTTACAGCGAGCGTTAACCATCTGAGCTACAACGGCTCTTTAACAGATTTAAGTACATTTATATTTTGTCCCAATAGATCTAGTACCAATTATCAAACTACAAGCAAAGATTTGAATAAGGCGTTTTCTTTCAAGAAATGTGCAAGCACAAAAACAGAAGAAACTGGCCGAGACGTAACTAGCTCGTTCATATTTTGCGCGGCAGCTGGTGTAAAGCATGTCGCGGTCATTTACATAGTAAGTTGGCGATAAGCGAGCTAAATTTAGCACGAGCGGGGATGCGCTCCGAGCCCGTCTGGTACCTCACGGCTAACACCTACGCACAGCTTCCACTCCTCCCAACGGCCACCCGTGCTTTCGAACCCGTTTCGTTTTCATCCCACCTCCCAATGTACCACCCGAATCGACCGATAAAAGAAATCACTTAAACATAGCTTGTCCTCTTTAATTCAATTACGTTTCGTCAATCACAATCACGAAGTTATCTTTCCAGTTAAGTGGACACTTTATTTAGCTTGTAAACGATCTCCGTAAATATAAACGAGAAAAGTGGCAGATAATTCATATGTAGACATGAGAAGACTGTCGGCACGGCTACAGTGTCGCATTATCTGAAGCACTCGAGCGATAAAAAGAACAAAGAACAATAACTGACGACGTTCAACTCCCTTTCGCACGAACTTGACTTTCATTACAGCCAGCTTCGATTAACATATTATAACATTAATTTCTTGGACATACTTTAAAGATCTTACTATTAACATTAGGTTTATTTTTCTTTGTCTACATTTTAAACAAACGACTAAAGCTTAGACAATAAGAAATTTCTGGTGTTGAAAACCTTTGCCGAAAGTTCTTGGACTAGTTTATGTCGAGCATTAAATGCAAAGAGTCAACACAACAGCTTCAGGACTAATGCAACACGATGCGGCAAGGCATATGTTAATGAGGCAGGCGATAAACGAAGCAAACGGGATTACGGGACTCGCCCGTGAGCCGTGGCACTAGGTAAGTGGGTGTAAACCAGTGTTAGTGAAATTACGATACAAAAGATCTTCTTCGTTCCAACGCACGGTGACCAATTAATAAGATTTACGTTGTCAAAATATTGTTTTGCGCACAATCGGACACACTTTAGGGCGGTGCCAAAAAATCGATACTGTTGTTCGTCTACCCGCTTTTTCAGGCGACTGATTTTTATTAATAATTGAATGAATAATTGATGGTATTTTGATAAATGGATACAATAAACAAATATTTAAAATAAAACAAAATACAAATTACATACGATTAAATGAGAAGACACATTAAGTTAGTAAACACTTATAATAACTTACCAGGCTTTAACGCGAATAAGGACCTCGCCTTCGCTGACCGTTGGCTCGGGCTTTTTCAGAATCTTAACAGTTTTGAGTCCACCGAAACCAGTAAGAACGACAGCACGCATCTCCTTAGGCGGTGGGCTCTCTTTTTCTTTCTCTTCTGTGGCCTTTTCTGGTGCCTCCTCCGGAGGAGTTTCGGTGGTTCCATTTTCAGTGGGAGTCTTTTCTGGCGCTGGGGCCGATGTAGTTTCTGTGCCTTCCGTCATGTCTGGTAAATTAAGGGTTGATATGAGCGATGCGGTTAACGGACGCGCTGAGAATGAGCCCGGGTAAGTTAGTGTAGTATGGCGGAAGCCGGCCGGCGAGACAACGCGTCGCGGAACGAATGAGTGGAGGGAAGGGCGAAGCGCGCGCAGTGAGGGTGCCGGCTGAGGGGCCGGATGGGAGGGGGAGGGGGGTTGTGGAGGCAGCGGGCACGAGGGGGGATCACGCGCGCCACCGCGCGGCGAACAGGTGGCCGCCGCGTCGCGCCGGCCGGTTCTCCTAGCCCCCCACCCCGCGTGATATTACTCTACACAGGACCTGGATTAACTTTATTACGCCGTGCCCGACATAAAGCCTAAACAAGCTATAATTTGCTACTCTTCCAAATCTAGACTCCCGAAATTGCAAGTGCTTAGTTAAAACGAACGTGACTTGGCAACAATATCGATCGATACACAATTAAATAGAAGAAATCGATACTGTGGTTAAACAATCGTAATCGCATTTACACTTAACACGATAATTGGGTTTTCAGTTCAAAATTATGTATGAAATAACTACTTGCAAATCCTTTATACACAAACAAAGCCCTAGTTTTTCATTTATTTATGAGCTTGCAGTTTTAAATAAATAAAACGATGCTTTTATTGTGCATTGAGAATGTCCTTAGTTATTGATGATAACTATATAGCATTGTTTACGCGATACCTACTCTTAACAATATAGCTGGCTATCAACGTGACCTTATAAAACGCAGGAATCTTTATATTTTCCTTACAATGCCATATCGTAAGTTATCTTAGGCATGTATAACAATGAGTAATGCTTAAAGCCAGAATATAAACATAAGGGTGTTAAATAAAAGGTAAGAATGAGTAAGTTACAGATATATACAGAGTAAGTTACAGATAAATACATACACTTATACACACATGTGTGTATGTATATCACATGTGTGTTTGTAATATGTTGTAATAGGTTATTAATTTGCGAGCGTTTTATGGAGTGTCCGAGGTATGGTATCACATTCATCGTACCTCTTAGGGTCACACTCGGAATGTCTTTTTCTTAGTTTACAAATTTCTTTCTAAAGAACTCTTCATCCGGAGCACCTTAAAATAACTACTGCATGAAATGTACAGCGAATACTGCTTCATCATCCGTCAAATTCTCTGTCCTCTCAAATACTCCCTTGAATATCGAAAACAGATAGGACTCAGTATATGCGAGGTCTGGTGAATATGAAGGACGCTCAAGTATTTCAAAGCATCTGGAATTGCAGCCTTGGGAGCCTGGCGGCACCCAGGAGAAATAAAACAATCACTTGGAGTTTGTATTGTCCTTTCTCGAGGATTTCGTTACGCAATATTTTTATTCAATCTGCATACAAGGTGTAACCGTAACTACAGCACCATGATCGAGATATTCAATCATGACTACACCTTGAATATCCCAATAATATAAAAGGGAACCAATAATTTTATAGGCAGAAGGACTCTCTCCCCTGCTTTTTTGATTAGGTTTTGAACATGATGTCAAAAGTTATGCTCACTACTTTTCGAAACCTTTGTAAAAAATTTCAAGCTCCGATACTATCAGCGCGTTACTTAATTTTTTCTATTCTCGACAACACGCTACAACAAACCGCAAACCAAATATCGTGGTCTATTTTTTAAAACAAAACAATTATTTTCCCAATTGGCTCTCCAGCACAGTAACTAAGCGCTAGGTAGCAACGTTGCAGCGTGGAGGGTTCAAACACTTATTAATTGTCCTGGGCCTTGATATGAGGAATGAGGACCTATATGTATGGAAACCGCCTCCATGATAAAGTAGAAAATTTAAGGGCATTTTTTAAAGGAAACGAAAATACGAAAAAAACGAAAGAAAAAAGGCTATTGCAAGCTTTACCAACTATTATTTACATTTTAAATTCAAAAGAGTTTGTATAGCATTTTCACTTTTTTGAACGCCCTTGTAATACGAACTTCCACGATGTTCTTTCAAATATTCTTCGACCCGTTTACTGGAATCGGGGCATTCTATCTTAGTCCTCAAGGGTGACAACGCATCTACATTTTGATTCTTAACCGAGGTTAAATGTAGATGTCTATGGGCCACAGCATCCACTTACCATCAGGTGGATTGTGTGCTCGTTTGTCATCCTTATCATATAAAAAAATCTAAAATGATTGTCGTTGAACGCATTTTTTTATTCAAAAATTACATATTATGCAAATGCAACAAAGTTTATTTCACTGTGATCAAAGAACAATTCACGTTACAATATGATAGAGTAAATATACCTTTGTTCTGATTTTAATAGCTATCAAGGGTTTTGTGTGATAGTCAAGCTTTTATAATAACTGTAGTTTAATCGCTGATATTGATTGTCTGTGATGCATTCATGCGACTCACGATAGTATGATGCTGAATTATGACCAAATACCGACGCGAAAATAAAACACTGTGGCGTGAAAAAAAATGTAGTGTTTTCACTAATGTGTATTTTAATGCATGTTCAAGTTTAAACTAAAATATGATTCATAAATCTGTATTTGATATTATTAATTAATATGTTAATTCTAATAACTTTAATAAAAAAAAACATTTAAAAAAATTTCAATTCTTTTATTCTATAACATGACTATGTATAAGTACACTTAACTTTTTATCTATTTACAACACTACTGTCTAAAATACAAATACGATACTATGTATTTATTTTTAAAAGAACAATGTAGGCGTGCCAAATTTAATCACTTGAATTAGGTTTTCCATTCTTAGGGAATTGAATTTCATCTACGTAGTATGGGTCGTCGTAATCTTCGTAATATTCATCCTCAAATTCTTGGTATTCGTCATTTACATCGTCGGCGTTCTGTTCATTAGTTTCTACCCATTCTCTGGAATCACGTTTCTGTTTGCGCAGTTTGTTCTGGAGGATCTACAATATGTGTAAAATAAAATTAGTAAATGTTCAATATAATTATTAATTAACATTATGATCTTTACGAGGTTTTAAATTGGAAAAGGAAGATAGCAGACACAATAGTAACATTGCAATTAAATAATTATAAAAAAAATACGTGTGGCACTCTGTGACTGCAGCGGTAAAGCTATTGCATAGCATTTTTTATCAACTTATGCAATTATAATTATTTATTTATTTTATTCATGCAGTTAAGTCTTTGATATTAAATCAAGTTACACTTTTTGAGCGTGGTGACCGATAAGAAAACAATTTTTTTTCTCTTATTGAATACCTATATGAGAAGTTAATGTTGTTTAAAATATTTTTAATATCTTACAATACATGTAGGTTATTCAAGAATTTTTATCATTGATTAAGCAGCTAGTGTACACGCATACGTCTAGTCGCACGCACACAAACACCGTGCCGAACTCTGCCGAGTGCCGAAGTCTGCCGAACTGAAACGACGTTAGACGATGCACGGCTTTCAACGCCACACCTCCGTGCCCGTCGGAGTGGGGAGCGTGAGGTTTTTTTCGTTACGGAATTTCTGGATTCGGTCCCCGCGCTCAAGGCCCGCGATAGAAGCTATGCAATAGCTTAAAAATCATTCAGTCCAATACTTGACAGGCGAATTGGCGGTCATAATACCAAGAATATCACACCTATATAAACCTCTATTGTTGTTTATCAAAGTGCGTCTGTCTTATAGGATTATGCAGAAACAAGCTATGCATATGTATACTCAGAGTCTAGCAGTCTAGTTCATTCGAGATGAGTTTATCGTAGATAGAGTATCGACTTTTGTGTAATTTTTCTTAATCGATTTTAAAGACGCAAGTACAAACGAGACGGCGTAATTTTCTCTATCGCCATTACAATTCAGTTTTATTAAAATTCCATTTACGTCATACATATATGTTTATGTTTATTTTTAATAAAAATAAATAAATATAATTAATAAAATCCGCCCCAGCTTCGCACGGGTGATTTTTGTATCTCGACTCGTATACAAAAATCACCCGTGCGATATACTACACAACAATTCACAAAGTGCAAATAAAATAAAAAAAAACAAGAGATTCTGAATACGAACACGAGAAAATTTGAGCAATGCTGTCGCTATGGACGATATAAAATTATGCTACTTCAGAAGGCACACTAAAATATACTGTAATTTGAGGTGAGACCGGTTTATTGACTGGACTTTCACTTATTTAAAAGGTGTCTCGGAGGAGCGTATAAAATTTTTAAATGCAAGTGTAGTAGCATCCACGCCAGGTCGTTTACTAATTTCTATAAAAAAAACTATGACATAATTTATTTATTATATAATTATTATGTCAATTGTCAATACAAAGCAAAAATGTTGCTTAAAAGAGAGTATTATTTTCAAAAGCAAACTTTAATTTATTTATTAAGTACATGGGTAATTATTAAGTCAATTATCAATACAAAGCAAAACTGTTGCTTAAAAGAGAGTATTATTTTCAAAAGCAAACTTTATTTTATTTATTATACAATTAAATATGTCAATCGTCAATACAAAACAAAAATGTTGCTTAAAAGAGAGTATTATTTTCAAAAGCAAACTTTATTTTATTTATTATATAATTATTATGTCAATTGTCAATACAAAACAAAAATGTTGCTTAAAAGAGAGTATTATTTTCAAAAGCAAACTTTAAAAGATAACGAAAAGTAAAATAAAATGGAATCCTTATAAAAACTTTTAAAAATACTAAGTTAGCTTCTAAAGAAACAATTTGTTATGAAAGCTCTTTTGTGTTTTACTCCAGGTAACTTACGGACTGATTCGGAAGTTCGTTAAAAATATGTTAGTCATGTTTTCAGAACAAACAAAAGAAAAGATCTTCGTCGAGTAGTTGTACAGAGCGCATCAACAATGACACACACTTTGACCCACGTGTCGATTATAATGACATGAAAGATTTTTTTTATATCTTCTCACAAAAAGTGAGTAAGGTTTTTTATTAACAGTTTTTAATTTTCAAGGGAAAGTAGTGAGTAGTAGTATTAAAGTTTTAAAAAAATGTAATTTCGACCCTGTCCGTAATTTACGTTAATATCAACAAAAAATAAACAAATAAAACGTAATGTAGTAAATAGATGATAATTTTTTTGAGTATGTTAGGGCTGAACCTGAATAATAGGGCGAGAAATTGTATGATAAGAGAAAAGTGTAATTTGCAAGATGATGTCGTGAGCAGCATTAAGAAAGGAATACTTCGGTGGTGTAGTCTTATAGAAGAAATGAACGAGGAATGAGTGACAAAGTAAATCTATGTTGCAGAAGTGAACGGCAGAGTCGGGAAGGGACTCCCTTAGAGTCTAGGGCATAGACGAATGTTTATCGAGTAAATTGACGATATATTGAAGATGGGCCAGATTAGGAGTACCCTTAATCGACGAGCATGTATGCGTAGTTATATGGATGTAAAGTAAACGAGAGAGGTGTGTTAGGATCGTGCCAAATAGAATTCCGTACTCTCTGTCTGTCCTTCTGGGTGACAGGCGTGAGTGTTTACGTATGTATGTATTTTCTGAGTATTAGGTAACGCAATTACGAATTTCTTTTAAAAACTTATTGATTACCTCCAACTTTGATTTTTTGCCTATATCGTGAAGAAAATTTATGGTATTCTTCATTGGCCTACTTAGTAGGTCAATAGTATATTTACATAAATTCCACACGGCTTAAAATCCAAATTTGAAACAGTAATTCTTTGTGGGCCTTGCAAATACTTGCTTCATACTAGAAGCAAACTCACAGCCTACATTCCGCAGTCCCGCTCGTTAACAGCAAGAGTAAGCTGTCGCTAAAACACAAGCTCCAGCTGTACAAAACCTGCATCAGACCAGTTATGTACTATTCAAGTGTAGCTCTCGCCCACACATATAAGACCCATATTCTAAAACTCCAAAGAGTACAAAACTTTTTCATCCGAAAAGCCACCGGTGCACAGTGGTATCAACGGAACTCTGATTTACACAATGATTGTGAATTAAAATCCATCTCCGAATATTTTAAGGAGATGTCCCAGCGCTACTTCGATAAAGTAGAGACCCACCCTAACCCGCTAGTGACAAACGCAGCTAACTACGTTCCGATAACAAACGTTGCGCCCTATCTCCGCAGACCGCAGTAGTTACGTTGTACCAGTTCTCGCGCACTTGTAGAAAGGTTGTACCAGTTCTGGCGCACGACGTTCGTCGACTCACGATCCTAAAAAAAAAAAAAAAAAATAAAGGTTTTGGCGTGCTCTGATCACGATTCTGCGGTCCATTTTTGCGTAGGATGCACGGTTCCGGAGATGTGCAGATCAATTAACTCTTATCTAATTGATATCCGCTGCGAGCCTCAACCGTCATTAGCGCTCCATTGTCCTTATCTACTTATCTATTGTTGATTGACTACCGTCATTATCTATTATTCGTCCAGCGTGTGGGTCGGCTTATGCTATTGTATTATACTCCTTTGTTCCTATCTACAACACTAATCTGAATCATCAATAAAACACATTACCTAATTTTGTTAAAATTTTTATTTATAAAATACAAAATCTTATTACTTATTATCTATAAAATAGGAGCGAAACATCTCATCCACTAACATATCGTTGTACAATGTGTTCTCTGTAAATATACTCGTAAAACTATGCATTGAACATCCCTGAAACTTATATAGCATATACATTAAGCAATATTCGCCACAAACTGAAGTCCTATCAACATTCCAGTTCCATCTTTTAAACACATTACCTAATTTTGTTAAAATTTTTATTTATAAAATACAAAATCTTATTACCTATTATCTATAAAATAGGAGCGAAACATCTCATCCACTAACATATCGTTGTACAATGTGTTCTCTGTAAATATACTCGTAAAACTATGCATTGAACATCCCTGAAACTTATATAGCAAATACATTAAGCAATATTCGCCACAAACTGAAGTCCTATCAACATTCCAGTTCCATCTTTTACAATTTCGTACAGGTGCCCGTCCATATGAATCAAAATATTCACCGACGTCATTCGTATCGATATATAAAGCTACCCAATGTGACCCTGGTTTATCATCTGTACCCAAATTGCATATTACCTAGTCAGGTCATAAATTCTATCACATGTTTAATGTAAAATAATTGAAACAAGTTTATTCATTATGTAACCATTTATATACCAAAATGAACTTAACAAAACATAGATTCTTATGACACTATAGTTTATTCAAAATGACCTCCGTAATTTTGAATACAGGCCTTCAATCTGCGCGGCCAGTCGTCTATCTCACCACGAACGAGGTCCATGTCATATCGGCGGCTGCCTTAATTAAAGATGTCTTGAGTGACTCGAAATTGGGATGAGGCTTTGAGCACGCCTTTTCCTCCAAGTGTTACCATATCTTGTAATCTAACGGATTCAAATCTGGACTGGTCTTTGTGTCGGATGAAGTCGATTTCACGCGCCGCCAGCCAGGCTTTTTTTTTTGTTTTTAAAGAACGTTACCTCCACACTAGGTTTTTCTCCTGTATCGTGGGGGCAGTTTACAAACACAAATTTCACAAGGACAAACATCCAAACTCGGAACAATTACTTGTAGGTCGTACAAATACTTGTTCCGTGCGGGATTCGAACCCGCGACCCCCAAGCGCAGCCACTCATTGCTAAGCCACTACGCCACGGAGCTGTCAAAAGTCTTGTGTGCTCTTCGCTCTATGAGCTGACGCCGAATCTTGTTGGAATACCCAGTGCCTGTTATTGAACATGGTATGAGAAACAGGTTACACAAGGTTCGTCAGGACTGTATTTTGATACACAACTGCATTCGTTTTTAACCTTTCTCACAAAAATGTACCTCTGTTAAGCCCCAATAAGAAACTCCCAACCATACCATGAGCGAGGATGGAAAATGACCTCGTTGGACACGCGGAATACGGTTGCTCG